AAGTGATAAATCAGGTACAGCAGGACATGAACAGTAACTAATAATAAAATAGCCCAATTCTAAGAACACGTTGCGATTAAAGCCATGAGAATATGGCCTCTCTCCTGCTCTCAGATGGAGCTGCCCTCACCCTGCCTGAGATGCTGTGAGGTGGTGCAGGGCAGACGTGACAAGGTGGAGGGAGCAGGGGGACGTGGGCTCTGGGACCGAGCGCTAGGCTGCTGAAGGCTCTACTTGAACATGGAGTTGGTCTGACAACTGAGACAGCTGCTAAGTGACTCATGAGCAGTGGGCAGCGTCTGTACCTTGTGGAGACTCGGAAAAAGCGACGATGCCCACCCCAGCTGGGACAGAGCTACTCAGGACAGCGTGCAATTTAACTATGAATGATGTATTTCTGGAAATTTCCACTTACTATGTTCAGACAGCAGTTAGCTGCAGGAAACTAAAACCAGGGAAAAAGCAACCTGAGATGCCCTAAAACTCTCTGAAGTTCCAGGTTCTTTGTCCATCGGGAAGGAAACTGTCCCACACACTCAGGGGACACGCACGCTCCCCTTCACTCAGCCCCCCTGGACTCATCTGTGCTGGGAGCCTGCAGACCTCATGGAGCCTGCCGAGAAATGGGACAGGTGGGTCCTGAAGAGCCAGTCTGCTAAAATGAGAATGTGAGTTTCTCAGAGACTTTGCTAGTTGGATGGTGCCCTTCCATGCTCACAGAATCCACACCCAGATGTCATTGTCATCAGCCACAATCGTCATCCCACAGACATCAGCAGGTGTGACCCATGGATGCTATTTAGTCAATGTAACTATTGATATGAGGTCTCTATCCTCTGTGTAGATCAGTCTTCTCTGGAACATGGCCTTTCTCTCTGGGCCGATTATGAAGATGACTTTTTAAAAAAATGTAGGTTGGTTAAATAGGTGAAACCAGGGAAAACTGCCTCACATTGAGATTTATTGGGCTGTGAAAAATGTCTCTGGGGAAGAGCCATACGCCCTTTGGGCTGAGTTATTTAATTAAAATGACCATGGAGACCGAGGAAGAGAAGTCGCCTGCAGGGATGGTGCCACACTGACCCCTGAAGGATTGTCTTGATGGCCCTAAAATTCTTAACATTTTCAAAATCTTAAATGTCTTTAGAAACTCTTTTGAATGCTAGGAAAAGCCACCCTGCTTGCCACCGGCACTCCGTATAAAAGCAAACAGAAACAAAAACTATGAACAAAGGCACAGATGAGCATCCTTCATTCACCCAGTGCCAGCCACACTGGCCCGGGACCCAGTGACTCAACGGGAGAGCAGACTGAGGGGCCCCGGGCCTCGGAGGAGTGGAGACCCCTTTGCTTTTCCCTCCTTTCCATGGCTATTTATTTTCCCTTTTTTTGTTTATTTTGTTTTAAACACCCAAAACCCAGCATTGGTGTCTCAGAAAATGCACAAAAAGAACCGTCCTCTCAGTTAATATTGTGCTCTGTCAACAGGCAAATTCCAGCAAGGCCTGTGAAGGTCAGAGACGCCTGCCCCCTAATGGCACAGAGACAGTTCCAGGAGGGAACTGGGGAGCAGCACTGGACATCTGCGGCTCTGACCTGGACGAGAGAGACTTCTCAGTAAGGACAGGCTTGGAAGGTTCCAGGGAGGCACCCTGGTGTGTGAGCTCTTCCGGTCTTTGGGTGGCTGTGACCCATAAAACCACGCTCGCCACTCTGTACTCTCACCCACATGCCACCAGCACTCACCCTGCAGAGGAAACGTGGCCCAGACTCTGTCATCCTGGGCAGTCACCTCCAGTGCCAAGGAAATAGCAGTTGTGAGAAAGAGACCCCAGAGGTGCGAACTGTGTGGTTTCCGAAAGTCAGGGGAGAAAACCCAGGGGCTCTCTTGCCCCAGCTGCCCTGGGAACATCTTCAAGTGCCTGGGGAGTGGTCCAAGCTTGAGCTGCAGCCCACTCTCCAGCCACTCAGCCTAATGCGCCCCCACCCCAGGGATGGGAAAAAAATCTATGAGAAGAAGGAGAGGGTGTGAGTAAGTAAACAGACGTCTGCTCAAGAAGACCGCGGCGGATGGCATCCCTGCTGCAGATGGCCTGGTCGCATCTTGCAAGGAGTCCAGAGGCGAAAGCCTCTTCTGGGGGGGGGGGGGCAAGGGTAGACCACAGGGCCTCAGGGGCAGAAGCCCTGCAGCCACACACCTGGAAGCAACGACTCTCAGGAAGCCCCACCTTGCCGAGCTCGGACGTTACACTTCCTCAGCCCTCCAGGCACTGGATTTAATCTGTGCAGCCAGTCTCGCCCTGTCTGGGGGTGGTCCCTTCATCTCTCTCTCTGTGACTTCTGGTTACTTTCCTCCAAGAGCTGACTCTCCCCTGGGGCGTGTGCCCTCCAGCCCCCCACCCCCACCATCTTTGCCAACCAGAAGCAGGTCAACAGAAACCTCCCTGGCCTGAATTCCCACGAGAAGGGCAGGGGCCACCTCCTGGGTTTCCGCGAGTCCCTGGAGGCCCCTCACCATCTGCCCTCTGTGTATACTGTTGGATGCACGAAGCATGGGGATTCCTAAGCCTTTAAAATGTTTCTGTTTCATCAGTTGACTATTTCTTACAGGCTCAACTATCTTCTCTCTCTCTTAAATAAAAAACTGCCAAATTGTAACATCTGACAGAACCCTCTTTACTCGTGCGTGCGTGCATGTGTGTGTGTGTGCGTGTGTATGCCTGCCTGCCCACTCCGCAGATCTGGACTTGCCAGTCTCCATAATCACATAAGTAAATTCCTTACAATAAATTTCTTTCTCTGCATGCCACGTCTTATTAGCTCTGTTTTTCTGGAGGACCCTGGAGATTGCCAACACCAATAATAGAAGAGATGCACCGATTTACACTCTGACCAGCAGCAGATAAGCGGGCTGGTCCACAAAAAGCTATTGGCTCATTGGCCCTTAGACCCTTCCCTTTCTGCGGGGCTGCACCTGGTCTAGTCTTCCAGGGGGTGAAAAACACAGGTCTATCCTGTGCCTCCCTTTTGAAGGTCACCCAGTGCCTTCAGTGGTCCTCACCCTTCGGTGGTCCTCACTGTAGAGTGAGGCTCACACTCCACCAGGAACAGCACGATCCGGTGCCCTAACCTTCCAGACCCTTCTCTGACACTCCACTGCTTCACATTCAATGAAAATGGGGAATCTACCAGGTAAACCTTGACCTGGGACGCCCACATATCAGATGCTGAGGCCTCTTGCTGGTGGCAGGGAGAGGGTCCCATTCTCACAGTTTCTTCCTCCCCCTTGAGGCCACCTCTCAGGCCACCTCTAGTGACAGTGAAGGTGGCAGAGCCTGGTGTGAGAGCTACATCCCATCGAGGCATGTGCCCGAGTCAGACCGGTCCATTCTCTGTCCCCGGCAGGAGTCGGAACCTCCACTGTGCCCTTCTCCGTAGCACCCGGAACATCTAAGATACCCCTTTCTCTCCACCTCCTCTCCTTCCCTCACCCTGGCCCCCTGCCTTAAAAAATCCTCTCCCCATCTTCATGGGCCAGCACAACCTGCCCTTCCCATCCTGGTGCTGCAGCTGAGACACTCTGTGACCTTGAGTTCAGCAGTGACCCTGAGCCTCAGTCTCTTCATCTGTGTCATGGGCACACATGACCCCCCACGGTGCTTCACAAGGATTACATGAGATGACATGTGTTTACTTAGCACCCTGTGGGCACCCAGCAAGAGTGAGGGGGTGCAGTATTTGGGGTAGGCCACCCATTTTGGAGGGCACTTCCGTAATATCACAGCATTTGCTCTGGCTAGTAAGGCCAGAGACATATGGTTCTCAGTAACACACAGTAATCATTTGTGTACGTATGTGTGAGGACAGCCCCCAAATCTACTTTTAGCACATTTCTGGCATTTAATACACTGCCATTGACTACAGTCATTTGCTATACTTCAGACCTCAAGATGGATTCAGCCTACATCACTGCAACTTATAATACAGATGCCTTAAAGAGGAAGCATTACCTCAGATACCACATACTCTCTGAGTGCCCACTTGGACCACAGCTGGAGAATCATCAGACAAAGAAACACACACAGTTCCAAGTTACCCCTCCCTCACACTGTTGCTAACACCTGAAAACTTCATCACCATGCATTTCGTAACAAAAGCAGAGAAAATAATAATGATAGTAATAATACCTACCATTCCCCTATTACCAAGGCTAAGTTCCTGAAATACATGATCGCTAAACCCTTCGACAGAGAGATGGTTTTATTAACTCAAAGTATTACTAAGGAACCTGAGACGGGGAGAGGCTGAGCAGCAAACAAAAGATTATGTGGAAAGCGCCTGCTGTAAAAGTCGAGGCTTTCCAGTCCACCAGAACCGATCCATGTGGCTACGACACACTCAGCTATGACACTATCTGAAACCTCTGTTACAGGTAGCCACCAAGAACGTGCTGGGAGAGATCATCAGGTTCTTTTAGAAATGACAGCTCACCATTTCTGAAGGGTTCTCTGTAGTGAAACTTGAAGGAGAAAATGTAGGGAGTGTCTGAACTCTGCCCGGGTTCACCACTCGGTGCAGACTCAGCGCGGCAGGAAGGCCTGTGGCCAGCAGGGGCTGGGGCAAGCACGGCTGAGTGCCCGGCAAAGGGCAGGGGCACCGCATGACCGGAAGGAGGCCCTCGGAGGAAGGCACCCGGTTCCCAAACCCAAAGGCTGCCAACATCAGTTTACTGAGGGCCAGCTTACGGCTAAGACAAGAGAAGAACTGGGCTTTCTTCCACCACAGGCAAACTCCTGAGATGCTTCTTCTCCTCCAAGATGACAGCGCATTAAGAAAAACAAGACTCCAAGTTTTATGCCTCTGAAACCACATTCATAGAATGTAGACGGGAGTCCAAAAACCACGACGAAAACATGGTAAAGCATTTCACGGCTTCTATGTGGGCTTTATAGAATCCAACGTTGCAGATCAGTATAAAGGGAAATAAAACCGACGCTTACCTGCTGGAACCACCTGTATCACCTTCTCCCAAGATCCATATGGGAAGGTATCTAGACGACAGGAGTAGAAGCCAACATCAGCCTCCGAGGCGTTACGAATGGACAGCACCCTGTCGTTGAGCTTCGAGGGCGACTTGACCAAGTCCACCCTCCCAGCATAGGACTCCCTTATGACCTCGCCATAGTCGGGGTGGAAAATGGCAATAGACTCTTTCTTCGTGGCGTCCAGCCTGAACCACTCCATCTGGGTTAGGTGGAACGACAGCGGGTACACGCACTCCAGAGTCACCGTCTCCGCCAGCTTGATGGTTGTGTCCCAAAGCCTGTCTTCCCCTAGACCTGAAACAGACATCCTGTCAGTTCCCACCCCATCGCTCTGTGACTGAAACCCCACGCAGACGCCTGAAGCTCACGCTGAGCTTTCTGAGACGTGGCGGGGTAGGAAGCTGAGCTCGTGGCAGAGGCTCCCAGTGCCGACCGTAGTCAGTCTAACGAGGTTTCTGCCGCTGGTGATAGGTACTGGGAACGTTTAATTTTTCTGAACAAGTGAAAAATTATCTAAGCCAACAGAAGAGCATTGTCATTTCTGAACATGCCACGCTATAAGGCCAAAAAAAAAAAACCGAGTAAATTTTTAAAATAAAGACACTGTCTTTACCTTTGTAGACATGAAGAAGAGCCAAGAAGAGAGTCAGACGGTCCATCTCTGGAAAGCGCCTGGGAGGCTGGTCTATAAGAAAGGCAATTTTGATAATGTTATTCTCACAGGCCCAGCACGATGTACCATTTCCTTCCTCTCAGATGTTATCGGCAGCACCTCCTTTCTTTGAAGCATGAACACAGGAAAAAGGGCTCAGCTTCAAAGTCCAGCTTGCTCTCGTACAAGGACGGGCGGGTCTGAACTGCTTCTCTCTCGGGGAAATTGTCGACTTACCTTCACGCTTTCATTTTCTACAAAGATTCATTCATTGAACAAACATTTGCCAAGCGCACTCTCTGTGCCAAGCTCTAGGCAGTGAGCTGCACAGAGCAATACATTAAACTTTTAAACAATTCTTGCCATCATGGAACTTAGGTTCTAGTGGGAGGAAGCAGAAAGGAAAACACGAGGTAAGGAGGAGAGTAAGTTGTAGGTGGTAACTGCATGAGAGAAAACACAGCAGGGCGTGGGGACAGGGAAGGCGCTGTCTTATTTCCCTTTGATAGAAAGGCCCAGGAAGTCCCCATGAGAACAGGAGATTGGAGCAGAGACCCAAGAGCAAGGGCGGAGCCTGTGGCGGGGATGTGGCAACCCTCAGGCAGCGGCAGCCCGGGCTGACCTCAGGCACTCGCTCTAGGTGAGGAAGGGACCCGCAAAGCGTCTCCTGATAAATCAGTGGCATGGCTCAGGAGAGAGCCAATCGGCCAGTCGACCACATGGGTGATTTTTTCTAACTTTTTACTTTTTAATCATTACAGAGACACAGGAATTTGCCCAGACAGGACTGGGAAGACCTGTGACCCCTGTAACCAGTGTCCCCAATGGTCACATCTTCTGTGACCGTCGTGCAGTATCAATGCGTGATCGATTTCTTTGGTTCATCATCGCTCCCTCCCACCTCTTGTAAAATGACGGTTTAGTTTCTCGAGATCTTTGTCAGGAACATAGTACCATGGAAGCATAAAAATATAGTACTGTCTCTATGGCAACAGGAGTCACACAAATGCAGGTGGCCCCTGATGGGAGTGTCAGAATAAAAGGTGAGTAAAAACTGGGCATCGGAGGGGCAGCAGCCACTACAGACAGTTCTGCCTGCTGCCCACACTGAACCCCCATGTTTGTCACCCCGAAGTTTGTCACTGGGTGTTCACTGGTTAACATCAGTGGCTGAGCTGGGACTTCTTCCAAAAACATGAAATCAAGTACGAAATCGACAATGTCATGATGATCAGAACAAAATCATAATGCGTACATGTAAAAATGTATGGTGCCAGCTTTTGTTTACATGGCGTTCAATTTTCCCAACACTTGCACACTGATGCTGTTATTTGTGCTTGTAACAACTCTGTGGTAGCCACACAACACGTCTGCTATCTCTTTTTTGTGAGTAACTCAGTCACACAATTTGCTGCAAATTTTACTGTGCGGTACCAGACTCCCTGCTTGGGCCCCAGAAATGCCAGCCTGGGACAGCAGAGCCTCGGCCCTCAAATCGTGTGCAGTATGCTTCGTCAGGAGGATTAAAGGAGCAGTTTGCTACAATAACACTTGATAATTTCTACACGAGTCATCTGATCAAGTTCTATAGTATCCCAGTGAGGGAACAATTCCTGCTAACAGATTTGGGCAAGTTTCCTAGAAAAGGCGCAAGGGATCCTGGGCCTTCCTATCTGAGTAAGACTGTCCAAGCAGAAAAACGAGAGAAAGATCATGGTATGATGACAGGAAACACTATCAGGAAATGGGGTGACCACAGTCTAGTGGGTGGGAGCTGACGCAAGTGAACTCGGGTCTGGATCGCAAGTGTCTTCGATGGCATACACAATGTGTTAGAAACCACCCCGCCTGGTTTCAGGAGCTGTAACCCCCCAGGGCTAAGGCTGAGTGAGCGACCTTCGGACCATAAGCCACTAAGGAGACAAAGCTTATCTCCCTGGCAGGAGCGCCGCTTCTGCTCTTTCATCCATAACTGGCCCCCAGTGCTTGATCAGTTAGCCAATGATAGGTAAGATTCCCCAAGGGGGGAACAACCTAAGACAGGCATGATCACGTGGAGGCCCCAGGGAAGGACTTGGGGGGCTATGGAGAAAGGGGGTGATGGACCTCGCCCCCCGGCTTTGATGAAGCCTGAGTCCTCAGTCTGTCTGTGAGAAGTCTCCGAGAATTCCTTGGCTATCTGCCTCCTCTGCCTGACTTAAGCCTGGAAACAATGACAGAGGGTGGTGCAGCCTTGTGCTGGGAATGGCGAGTTCCCCGGGTGATCTGGCATGAGAAAGAATTCCTAACAATCCTGTGAAGCCTGCTTTGCTGAGAATGCTTTTAGTTAAATGATAAGGGCCCGAGCAAAAAGTGAGTTTATGTTCCCAAAGTTCTGTAGCCTTTTAGCTGACAGCCCCGACTTAGGAGAAGCCCTAATGGGTCTTTGTATACGATCTACTGTTTACTGCCTGACAATGATTAATAAGTTGTACCTGAACCCTGTGCAAAAAAAACCAATAAAAGGCTGTCTAGGCAAGGATCATTGGGCTCTCCCTTTGAGAGAGTGGCCAAGCTGCTCTGAAGTGCTCCCCCCTTGAGGGAGTAGCCGTGCGGTCCCTTTCCCTCCACAGGACTCGGTACTCCATGTGAATTTGTCTCATGTCTCATCCATGACACTGTGGGCACTGCTGATCAGTGCACGCGTCAACAATGAACTTCATGCTTGGCCATCAGGTCCCACAGCATCCTGCTCACACCTGTGACTCAGCCCCAAGTATGATTCCTGGGACGTACGTCTATGGCACACACGTAGCCCTGAAGGAATCTTTTCAAAGTCATTTCAGCTAGATCCATGGAGGTGACATGGGAACAAAAATGACAGGAAATTGATTCTACAGAGATGGGTTGAGATAACATTTGCTCTTATAGACTTTCTGGTTTGATTATAAAAGCAAGTGGAAGCTATTAGAGTCTTTTAGGTACCAGAACAGGATCTGAATTAAACTCTTAGACAGACAACTGAGCATCACCTGTTTCTTCATCCTCACCCCTAACGGAAACCTGACTTTGGGGATCTATTCCTTCTCCCACACCACAGCGATACTAGGAGAAATCCAAGTTGACAACTATGACTATTGGGGCGCAGCAGTGGAGAAACCAACTGTGGACTGAATTGATCACGCTAAGAAAGGGACATCATGAACACCCCATCTCGACGACAGGTGTCTCTCCCTCCCTTTGTTCCCTCCTCCCTCTGTCTCCTCCTTTTCCTTCTCCTCTTCCTCTTTTTTCTTCATCTTCATCTTCTTCTCTATCTCCTCCCCCACCCCATTGGAATCGTATTGCATTCTTATTGCACTTAAATAAGGAAAAATGTTCAGCCCAAAGACACAGAGGACGGCAGAAAGAGACAGGCATGAAGTTGGGTCGCAGACGGCATCACTGAGCCACTGAATTCAAAACTCAAATCTGAGCATATTGTCTGAGGTTATGAATTCCCATGTTCTATGAGCCTCTGGGAAAACAAGTTTCTGTCTCCTGCATCCACATACCTCAGCACTGGCCACTGCAAGAAGACTGGACTGGGAGGAAGCAAAACGGGACATCTGACTTGGGACACTGCCACCTTGATCTGAGTGAGATGGGCTGGTGGCTCATTCCAAGGAGATTCCCATGAAGATGAAGGGTGAGGGACTGACAGTCACACGGACATATGACAAGGACAGGCTTCCTGCCTCCATGGGACCCATCAGGGTCCGGTTAGGAAGGCAGAGCCTTGCCCACTGGTTCAATAGAAGGCATTTCATAAGAAAAACTACTAGAAAGAGTAATAGGAAAGCAAAAGAAAAAAGAAGCCAGTCGGAAGCAGGGAGACAACTCAGAGAGGCGCCTGAGGAGGAATCTACTTCTGGCCCTCCGATCAGAGGGCCTCGGGCCGGGACTGCTCACCGTGAGGCAGCCTCTCCGACCCTGGGGCCCAGGGGGAAACACAGTCCCTCCAGAGCTATCAGGAGAAGCCAAGGAATGGCTCCACCAGAAAACACGGGAAGCGGCCAATGAGCAAACCTGTGCTTGGAAAACCGAAGTGACTGCTAGTGAAGGGCCCCCATGAAAACGCACAGTGGGCCTCACGCTCCGTGGTGAAGCCTGCCCCCAAAGATCAGGTGCCAGACAAGGATGCCCACTTTCCCTACCACCATTCACGTTGACTCTGAAGTTCTGGCCAGAGCAGTTAGGCAAAAGAAAAAAAAAAAAAGAAAGAGAAATGAAAGGCATCTAAATTGCAAGGGAAAGGCAATCCACAGATTTAATGCGGTTCTTATCAAACTTTCAATCATCTCTGTGGCCTTTCTTTGGTTTTGCTTTTGCAGAAGTGGAAAAGCCGGTCCTCAAATTCAGGTAGAATTGCAAAGGGGCCTTGGAAAAGAGAAAAAGGGACACTGTGAGTCACAACTTTCTAGTAGCAGCTGGGAATGAGCGATGCAGGTCAAAGTCCAAGTTGTTAATGATTCATGATATGAATCATCATTAAGCACTTATTAAACAAATACCAAAACATATATACACATATATGTATCAAGTGTATGTGAGTGCATGATTGTACGTGTCGCCAAGAAAAGAAAGAGGGTAAATGTGGCAGAGGCGCAGGGGGAGAGGAAGGAGGCACAAGACACTGGGTACGGGCCCTACAAGAAATTAGATGTAACATGGCATCATCTGCTCTCCGCTGCGCCTACTGCAGCTCCTCCCTGAACTTCCTCCTCACAGGAAAAGGGCCCCAGGTACGGTGGGCGGGGAGGGCCATCACTGAAGAAAAGGTACTGATTGATAATAACTTACAGTGACCCCTTCGTTCATTCCCAAGAATCCGAAGCCAACCGAGCTAAGAGACAAAGACAGTGCCTGCGCCCTTGTATTCTAAAGCGACTCAAATCCAGGGAGGTAACTGATCTGAATGAGAGGTGCGGGAGGACGTGTGGCTGCAGATGAACTTCAGCTGTGACATTTTTGCTGCGGATGAGCCCTCTGTGTCGCCATCCGAACAAAGACAAATAGCACACTTCAGCTCTCTGTGGTGTAGGCAGCCATGTTTTGCATGATTTATGGAGGGATTCTGGCTTGAGGTTTTGTTGTTGTTGTTTTTAATAGAGCTGTCCGTATAAAAGCACTCCATCCTCCAGGAAGTCATTAATCAAAATATTACTGGAGGTCTCCACTGGTGAACCACATAAGGATGAATCCATCCGCAAGTTCACCTAGGGGACCTGGGCTGGTGACGCCTCTTACCCTGTCCCCACAGACATGTCTCTGTCTCCCCAAGGGCACTCTTCTGCTTTCTGCACAATGTCTGCTTTCACATCTCTGCCCTTCCTGAATATCGGCACCATTCTAGTCTCCCTACTCAGTAACCCAAGTCCCCGCTTCCCCAGCCCACTGAGACTCAGGACTGTTCTGATTCCATTC